AGGAAGCCATATGCTGCTCCCCCTAAAACGCTACTGGCTATTCCAACTGGAGGCCATAAAATTGAGATGACAGCCGTACATAGGCAAAGTAAAACCTTCAAAACTGGCCCAAATCGTTTTGTTCTGTAATAAGAATAAACAATAAGATACCAGTTCGATGACAATGTATAAATATCACAAGCAAGTATAAGTTGGAATGCTCTAGGACGCACCTGAAAATGCAATAACATGTATAAGAAAAGTGTATCGGCCAAAGACCCAAAATTATTCCAGATATCCCAATAGTCATTATAAGACATATGAATGAGAATAATATGATACCTGAAGCAAAAAAATGAAAAAGGCCTCATCAAGCTAATATCTTATTCCGCAATAAAACCTTTCCAGTGCCATGAACAAAGAAATGATAACAAAGAAGATTGCTAATAATATTAGCACACTGTAGAGTAACAAACACACTTCTACGAGGTCAGTAGTTCAGATTGTCTCACGAAACAATGAATATCGTTAACCAAACTTTCCAGTATTTAACGCAAGTGCATGAAAGAAATTCCCGGAATACAAAAATTTCAAATTTGCCAAATCAATCACTATGACGAAAACTTGAATTTACAATTGAGATTTACATACAGATTACAGTAAAAAGGCAACAAAACCGAGAAATTATGTCATTAATTCCTCAAACTATCCCTGGAGTCAATGCAACTCACAAAATTGCCATTTTTCCCAACACACAAAATCACTCCTAAATCTTAATTGAACAATACATACAAGAAAGAATGAAACAACTGTGCAACAGAACAGGATATTTGTATGTAGCTGAACAGGTATACCTAGTCTGAATGCTAAACATTAGATAAATCCTAATTAACACAAGAAATCAGAAAAAGAGTGGGCAATTGATACAAACCTTTAGTAAAGCCAAGAATTAGAAGGCCAATGAAGTAAGGCAAGAAAAATATGAAGTTCCACAAAGAAGCCCAAAACCCCCTTGGGGGTTCCATGCCTTGTGTTTCGGATCTTTCACACAATCATCAAAAACCCATTTCGCAATCAATCTAAACTCTAAAATGCATCCTAAAAAACGCAGCTTTTTCCTCACTCAACCCAACTTCTGGCACCAGATGCGTACCGAAAACGAAAACCAACTAGTGGGTCCGCATTTTCTTTAACCAAAAATTTGATTCTTGTTAAAAAACTGGAGTTAAAATTGAAATAAACTGAAGAACAGATTAAGGAAATAACTGCTGTAAAGACGACTTGTGGATCGCGAGCAGTTTCATATTAGAGATTTTACAAGCAAGGAATACAGTACTTTTGAGGCAAAATCAAAGATTCCGGTTTGTTTACTGTGCATCCACTTGTAATTTGTAGGAAATATATGTATTAATTTACAACATACGCCTTATATAAAGGCGTGATTACATTTGCATACAATCTTTCTAAAAATTACAATTACACACTCTTTTTTTATTAGCGTTAACAAAAAACATACTCAGTTAAATCTCCGTCAATTTTTCAAAAAATTTACGGATATGCCATTGTAAATAACTTGGACCGGTAGAAATACCCGTAATTGAAAAATTGCAAATAACACCATAAATAAAACATTTCGTAACACATTTTTCTTTTAATTTCTTTGACCTCAGTGCCAATGAATCCGCAAAATAAATTCAAAAACGACATCTAAT